AAAATTATCAAAAATTCGAAAAACCGAATTTCTTAAAATTCAACCTTTTTTCTTCTGTTTTATGGCATTTAGCTTTATTATTTTTGGGCTCTTCAAAAACACTTTTCTTATTTAATAGTCTCCACCCTTTGGTAAAAAATAAAAAATTATCAAAAATTCGAAAAACCGAATTTCTTAAAATTCAACATTTTTTCTTCTCAGTTACTGCATTTAGCCTCATTATTTTTGGGCTCTTCAAAAACACTTTACTTATTTAATGTTGCCAATGTTACTGGAACATTACGTGCTACTGGGGAAGTAGAAGGAAAATGATTATTAGATATCAATATTTTCATTTCTATAGGGGAGAGTGGGACAAACCGGCCATACTAACGGTTTTTTTACTCTTGTGACTAAACAAATCAACCGTTTTTATTTTTCGATTGCTTGTTTGAAAGATCATTTAATTGCGCAACTTTTTCTCAGAGACACCTATACTTTATCTTTTATTGTTTAGTTGCTGTGTTAACTTATAAAAAAATTTGCAAACTGGCCGGTTTGCCCCACTCCCTGGGGTAAACCGGCCATTTGGGTTTTTGATCTATAATATTGAATTTTTATAATCTACAATAACAACAAACAAAGAATCATGTGAACAATGGTCGTAATAATATGTAAATAATAATACGGGATTGAATTTTAATTAAATAAATTATTTTTTTTCATAGCAAAACAAAAATGTTTGAAATTATCAGGGAAACAATATTAAAAGGTCTCATTGGAAGACAATTATTTTTCATTGAAAGTAAATATTTTAATGAAAAAAACATTCTAATTAATAATAATTTTCTTGAAACTCTGATACAATGAAAATATCCTATGGCCGGTTTGCCCCATAGGCTCATTTTGAGAATAAATATTTGTTTAAAAAAAACGCTTTGCAAATTCATCAAAGTTTTTTGTGGTAAATATTCCTGAGGTGTGAACCTTCAAAACCTAAGACCTAATATTTGGAAATATTACACGATTTCCTCAGAATTTCCTTAAGAAAAAATTCGTAAAAGTGTAGAAAAAAACTTTTGCTCTCAGCGTTGCACAAACAAAAGTAAAAAATGTTAAATTGAAAAAATAAGGTATACTACACATGGTTGTTTCAAATTTCTAAATAGCACTTTTGACAATTTCGCCATTTCGGAGATATTGACACCTGGCCGGTTTGCTCCACTCTCCCCTATAGGTATAAAAATATTTGAACTTTTAAATTTTAGATTTAAAATTCCTAATTCTTTCTATTTTTATGATAAAATTGAAATTAGAATGACCAAAAATACAAATTAATTAATTAACCAGAAAATATCAATACCAACTTGATGCAAGAATCAATCAATATTTAACCCTTTGAGGAGCAGTGATACATTCAATTCATATGATCATTTTTTTGTTAACTTGTGCATAACTTTGTTGATTTTAAAAACTGAATATTGAAACAATATTTTTATCTAATGTAGCAAATTTCTTATTTTACATACTGGTCTTTAAATAAAAAACTTTAATAACTTTTCCTGAAAAGCTTGCTTAAAAATTAAGAATTACTATTTTTTTAGAAAAAAGTTGATCTAAAAAAACGAAAAAAAATTTCAAAATACGTCTTTTTTTAAAATTTTATTGTAGAAATGTGTTGTATTTATCTTAAAAAGTTAGCTAAGGTGTTTTGCATTCCCTTTACAAAAAATAAAAAATTTGTTTTTTTTTATTTTTCAAATCTTTTGGAAAAATGTCATAACTTTCGTTCATGTTAATATTTTTTGATCGGATAAGGCTATGATTTTAAGTGACGTTAATACCTAATAGACTGACAAGTTTCAGTTTAATTGGTTGAACCGTTTTCAATTCATGCGCGAACAAAGTTTTGCATACAGAAAGACAGACAGACAGACAGAAGGACAGACGCGTTCCTCGTTCGCCAATCAATTTATGGAGAACTCAACTTTCAACTAGGAAAAAGAAAATATTAACAAAAGGTTTTTACCTTTTGTCTATTAATAGTAGTCTATTAATAGTAAATGGATCTTCAAAATTAAATTAAATAACGAAGGTAAAGTGGATTGCTACATGGCAAGAATGCTGCCGTCCAGTTTAAAAAAGGCACTATCTACATATTTTATGAAAAATGAGTTCTTTATACGGTTGGATTCGTAATGAAAAGACGAATCTAATAGTCGTATTCGTAATTGAAAATTTTAATTAGATTAGAAGATAACACAGCCACACAAAAAAAATAAAGTGTCTCGATCTAGGGTCGAGACATATGTATTCCGATGTATTCCGATGCGCTGAATCCGAATCTGCCATCAGAATTTGGCCAATGGGTCCTGGTTCCGCCCTAACCTCAAAAAATACCCTAATATCGTTAAAATGGTCACTTTTGAATTATCAAAATTGAATCTAACCGCATATTGATAATTTTCGAAGATCCCTTAATTTAAATAAACTATTCTATAAGCTTTTTATTTGAAAATTCATATAAAACATTAAATCTATCGAACCTAACCTCAAAAACACATCTAAGATTCCAAACAAACAAATTATACCATACACAGCGAAATAAAAAATAGGTAAGCTCATGAAAGTTACAACTTAGGTGTTTTTATGACTGCTGATTACAAAGCCGGTGTTAGTTAATCAAAATTCAAAATGGCGGATCCAATATGGCGAACAATATAATTAAAAATTTGTTTGGATTGGCTTGAAAATCGTTACTCGGTGGTTTTCGGGGTCCCTGATGACGAATCCCATGTCGGTTTCTAAAAATTCAAAATGTCGGATCCAATATGGCGGTCTTTATTATTTTAACGATTTTTTTAAATTTATTACTCGCGGTTTTTCGGGACCTTTGATAACGAATCGTATATAAATTTTTATAATCTTACTTTATTACTCGCGATTTTTCGGGACCTTTGATAACGAATTGTATTTAAATTTTTATAATCTTAAAGCCTTAAAATATTAAGTTAGAAAAAATTGTTAGAAAACAATTCGTAAGACTTTAAGATTATAAAAATTGATATAGGATTCGTTATCAAAGGTCCCGAAAAACCGCGAGTAATAAATTTTAAAAAAATTGTTAAAAGACATATTAACAAAAGGTTTACCTGCAAGTCAGTTTGATAAGTTACGTTCTGAATTGAGTTTGTATGAAATTTAAATACAGCTTGAATTCTTTTTAATACGCGTTATTAAAATTATGTGACATATTTGATTCTTTATCTGTTACATTGAGACGGAGTGTTGAAAAAGATACAATTTAACTCTGGGCATGTATTCAAATTACTTTACTCAACGCAGCCAATGGCGCTGTCGTTACTATGTATTTTCTCTGCTACTATTCTTTCTCATACTACCTTTGCTGTTGGTACGTGACTTTTAAACACAATACGTATTTTGTACTATTTTTGCTCAAATAATTATCAGAACTTAAGCTAATTGTTTGAGACACTTATGTCATAATAAGACACTCATCGGCGAGCAGTAGAACTCGAAGAGTTTTCGTCCGTTTGGCCTGAAAATTTAACTGTAGTATATTAGTTGCCAACAGCTACGTATAACCTCTTAATAAACGCAATTATTACTGCTTGTATATTTCTCTTTAAGTTTCTAAATTTGTCTTGATTGTCCTGTAAAGAAATAAATAAAATATTCGAGACAGATTAAACATTAAAACATCTATACTTATTAAAACCATTATAAAAATTTGTGAAACACAATTTTTTTTTTTTAAGATTGTATTTAAAATTAATTTATATTTATATTGACAATGTCGATCTCATTCGATAGAAAATTCAAAACTATTGTAAATTACATACTGATATTAGATATAAAATATATAATTACTAGTTTCAAGCTGGGACACTCATAACAACAAATATACAGATACATTTTTTAGAAGGGTAAACAATTACATAAAGTTATCAGCAGTTGATTTTCCTTAAATATGGAAGTTTTGGTTAACTATAAAATTTTGTTTCATTTGCTACATATGAAAATTACAAGAATATATTTATTTGAGACCAAATAGTTCAGCCCTGAACATGGGACACTCATGACATTTTAACTAAATTTTTATTATTATATACATCTTTACATTCATGACAGTTAACAAAGTATTTTAAATAATTGCATTTTATGAAACAAACAAATAAATTTTACCATAAATCTTATGACAAAAAGGTTTTATTGGCGAAGGACACAATTATGACAATTTAAGTGAAATGACCCTTATTTTTTTCAGAGCAAGATATATATATATATATATATATATATATATATATATATATATATATATATAATATATATTTATTTATTAATCTATTTATTGTATAGCCTACCTAATTCTACAAAACGCAATTGCTAAAAGTGACTTATGTTTGGGATTTTATCTAACTCGAAATCTCATATTTAAAAACTTAATTAAATTACGATAAATAATAAGAATAATAATTTATTACTTCCAAAGTTATATTAAAAATTATCAAATTTCTATACATTTTTTAAGCTCGTTTATAAAGTAAAGTAAAAGTTCTCTTTTTTATCAAGCTGTAATTTAAACGAGATTTTTGATAAAAAAAAATTTTATGGTAAAATGAAAACAGGGCGTTATGAATTTCTACAAAAACGTTTCCCATTTTCAAATGTCCGGTTATCATCGCGGTTTTTCATAAAGTCAGCTAATTACGCAGATGAATCGACCTTAAATATTTATTTGTCTTTTGACATACATTTTTTTAAAACATTTAAAAGAATTTAGGTTTAAATATTATTTATAAATGAAGATTAACACCAGTAAATATAATTTACATAATAACATAAATAAACGTTTATATAAAAACGTAAATAAAGATTTAGAATAAAAGCAAACGTAAATTTAGAAAAAAGTATAAATGCATAAGATTATAATTACCATAATAATTATGTAGATGCATAAATTAAAAAATATATATGTATTTAAATTAAAATTTACTGAAAACACTACAATAGATATATTTATTAAAATTTTAATATGAATTACATATTTGTCTTATAGTTGTATGATTTTTAAAATTAAGGATAATTTTTTATAATTAATAATTTAGATTATCAAAGGTCGATTCGATCCAAGAATCTTTGGCGTGACAGAAACGCCGTCTCGCGATTTCTTTCTCGATCTATGTTCTCATCTTTGCTCGCATAATCCGCCCATGGCTTATTGCGATCGAGAATCAGGCACGAGTAGGACTAGATTAAAGCGAAAAGGTATCTCGTCCATCTGACAACCAAGGTTTTTTCTGATACTTCTTTACTTGGATTTAAGTTCTTTCGTGACGGACGACAATTTTTCTTTGCGATAAGCTTGTCTGTAGAAGTCTGAAAACAAGGCGAAGAAAATTGTTGAGTGAAGTAAGAGAAGAGTAGCAACGAGTTTCGGATATCCACAATCGAATACTAAAGCCTGAGCACTGTGGATGAACACCAAGAAGAACTGGACCTGTAAACAAAGAGATTTTTCATTATAAACACCATCGAGCTTTTAAAAGCATGACAAATAGTAGTTTGTTATAATTTTAACAAATTTAATTAAAAGAACTTTTTTAGAATTTATATATAATATATTGTGTAATTTTATTTTATTTTAACTTGAGATAAACGAAATTATTTCAATATGATATCCAAGTTATTTTTGAAATCTTACCTACTTTTTTCTAATGTTTCTAATATTCTAAAGTTTCAAAATATAAATTTTTTTTACCATGAATGATTTACAAAAAATATAATTTTAAGTATTAGTAGTAAATCAGAGATTTAGGACCTCTGTATTAAGTCGTCCATTTTGAAATGATATTTGATTTTTTTATTGTAGATGATTCTGCAATGAGCTACAATGACAACCAGTAATTTTTCACAGTAAACAAAGCGCCCTCTGTAGAAGAAAGATACTTATACTTTCTCAAAATTAAAATTCTTTTTTTAAGACTTCTTAACATACACTATGACATGTATAAACATTTGACCAATTATATTTTAAAACTTAACAGCAAAATTTTTTTTAAACTTTTGATTTTAGGGCCTAAAAAAGTTGCAAGATCACTTAACATTACAAATTTTTAAAAAGTGTCTTTTTGTAGTTTTTTGATTTTTTAAAATTGTGAACACGAGTTTAGTCTAAAATTTTAGTAATTTTCTTGGGGTGAAAACAACCCTTAAATAAAAAGTGCCAGGATATCCTTTAAAAAATATTAATTTTTGATGAAACTTGATATCTAGGGGTTTTTGGGGTCGCTGATTACAAATCGATGTCACTTTTTCAAAATTCAAAATGACGGATCCAATATAGCGGACAACTGTTTGAAAAATAGATGCAGTTTGCCTGAAACTCGTTAATCGGGGGTTTTTGGGGTCGCTGAATACGAATCTGATCTCAGATTTTCAAAATTACACAATTAAGTAATTAAATTTGTGTACGAAAACAGTATTTTTTGTTTATATACTTGCCATTTTTCGAAAAAAAACGATATTTTCAAAATCCCTTACGTGGTCTACTAGTTTATGGCATATATTAAAAGAAAATTTTTGGTTTTTTATTCCAGGTTCAAATTTGTCGGTACAGACATTCCGCCCATTTTGGGCCTCCAAAAAACGTCATTATTTAAAACTGATCCTGGAGCAGGGCATTTTATAATAAAAAAAACTTTGTTTAATATATTTTTTGGTACATTTTGAGATATATAATAAAGTACTGAATACGAAAATTTAATAGCTTTTAATATACTCTTTGAAAAAATTCCCAAATTTGACCATTCTGTTTTACACGTGCTTGGTGGCCTGACCCCTTAATCGTATCTTTTTGTACAATTGAGATTTCTTACAAGATTTCATCAACATACATTTGTTTAGAAACAGCAAGTGAATAAAGTTGCGTTAGAACAATTGGAAAAATTATAATTACTTTTAAGATGTTAAAAAGGAATTAGTGAAATTCGTTATTTCAAAAAAATGTTTAAACTTTGAATAAAGTTTCGGATTAAGCATATATTTGATTCTTAAACATTATTTTTCAGTTGTAGAAGTACCTTCAAAATTTTTATATTTTTTTCTTTCAACTTTGGTCACTTGCATTTTCTAAAGAAATGTATGTAGATAAAATCTTGTAAGAAATCTCAATTCTACAAAAAATATGATTAAAATGAGCCTATGAACATTAAAAAACGTTAATTTCTTTGGAAGATATAAAAAAGTTAGTCAAATCACTGAAAATAATGTTTTTGTATCAATTACAGAATATTAGAAAGAATTTGATAACTTTTGTAAGAACATTGAAAAACGTTAATTTCTTAGGAAGATATAAAAAACTTATTCAAATCACTGAAAACTAAGCAATTAAAAAACTGTAATTTTTAATAGTTTGAATTCATTTGCAAGTTTACAAATTGACTATTTTCAACTTGCAAACCTTCATTTTATAAGAATTTCCCAGAAATTTTTTTGTTAATGTATAATTACAAAATAAAGGGATCGATTGTCATTAATCAGGTGAAAAAAATTCGTGAATAAAATTGTTTTAAAAAAATTTTAATTTTAGAAAGAAAATTGTAACATTTTAGAATTTGAATATTTACCTCGAAGAGCAAAAAGAATATTTTGATACAAAAGCAGGAGAAAGCCCAAGGAGATAAATTAAAAAAAATTTCATTTCTTACAATAATTAACATGTTTAACAAAATTTTCAGTACCATTAAAGTTATTTTTATCTCAATAAATTTTTACAGTGCAATAAGACATGATTAAACTTATTATTAAAATGTTTAAATTTGTAATGAACATTAAGCGACGTTGCTACATCTCTAATAATTCCTGCAATAAGGAGATAATTTTCAATATACTTATAAGAAGATATTGGTATTAGTGGGTATATGCAATGCTATACAAAAGTATAGAGTAGGTAGATGAAAGAGTAATATGGACAAGTACTTTAATACGAAATAGTATAATAATAATTAATTCTATCTACGGCTGCAGCCGATATAATCCCTTAATTTTCTAAGATAGGTTCATAATTTATTTTTAAGCATTATTGAAATTATGCTTTTTTACATAAATAATATAGGCAGACATGCCAAAGCAGAATGTCACATAGCTAAGCTGTAATTCGGTTCAATTTCTGAATATTTATCTTCATAATTTTAGTTCTGCATATTTTAATATACAGAACTAAAATTATGAATTAACTAAAATTATGAAGGTTTGATTTTTCATTTTGAAAATGAATCATTTTGTGTGCATCCGTATAGGGAAATTTTTGCCAATACTTTTTTAAATCCCTAAATACTTTAATTTTATAATACTTTCTGGTAATTAACTAGAGCATTTTATGATGAGATTTAACTATAGATAAATGGTGTGTTTCTTCGCGGATATCTTGAAGATGAATGTCAACAAAAAATTAAAAATACAGGGTGTCAATAGGATTTAGTAAATTTTGTTAAAAAATGCACCATGCGAAAAGATTCATAGGAAAGTTCCTCCTTGGAAATTCAGATCCCATCGTAATTATGACGATATTTAACTTTAATGAAATATTACAATATTACAGTATTAATTAAATATTATAGTAATATTACAGTAATTTTACGTGCTACTTGAACGTTAATTAAATTTCATTTTATTCAATTAAATTTCTGCATTACATACAGCATCAATTTGCGGTTTAAGACAGAAGAATAGCTTTGCATTTGGCAAATATTCTACAGTAATAGAATAATGACAACTATCTGCGTGGTACAAAATTACTTTACTGATATTACATAAATTTACAAATTAGCTATACTGGTAGAATAGAGTTCAATGCCAAATGTTGGCCTAATACACGGATTTCTAAGTACTGACATTATATAAAATTACTACCGCCTTTGTACTGTGCCAATGGTCAATTACATCTAAATTCTACTTTCTTCTCATGGTCAGAAGAATTAATATTAATTAGATCGTTGAAAGTGGATAATAGAAACTTTTCACAGAATTGTGGATTTTTAGTTTTCTGAATAAAATTCCAATAATATATTTTCAAATATATTTATAAACCAGTTGCATGATTGAAAAAGTACTTAAAATTTATCCTATTCATTTTTAATTGAAAAAATAACACATTCTTGACAAGTTAGTAAAATCTATTACTATCTATTAGTCATAAAATAAATTACAGGGAAAAATTAACATATTAACAAATTTAAAAAAATTAATTTTGTGACTCTGAACATTCATGTAAAGCGAAAATATAAGAACTGAATACTAAATCATATTATTGTAATGAAATAAAACATCCACTTTTACACTAGGGTCCGCGGTCTTTCAAGTCCACTTCAGGCACTAATATGTGTTTAATCATTGAAATGCATGTGTTCTTTCTGTCAGTTGTGTACACATATATTGGAATGCCAAATTATTGCGCCACCACACATCGCAGTCGCACCACGAGTCCTATAAGTTGCAATTGCCCAACGAGTACTTTTCACTTTCCCCTCCCCTCCATCGGTAAATTTTGCTTTAACGACCTCAGAAATCGGCCAAGAGTCCACCACGAAGAAAAAATTGAAACATTGTGTACCATAGGGTATCCATAGAGTACTAGCTGATCACTCTTCGTATCACACGTTCTCTTTTTATTTCTACTACTTATATTTAAATCCTCATAAGCATCCATACCCTTCTCTTGATTATAAAAACTCTCTCTCAATTTAAAAATTAATGTGTAACGCTTTCTAAGGAAAGATATACCTACCCCACCCAAAAATACTTGAAAGTGTAATAACATTTTCAATATTGCCTCAACGTTTCTATGGATTTTACAATATTACAGCAATATAAAATTATTAAGGTACAGGCAAAGATTGATAATATTTTTCTATTTTCATTTCAAAGTGCAATTCTGTGCTGAAAAAAATTTATCTTATCCAAAAAAATGATTTATTTGTCTATCTTTCATTGAATTAAAATATCCATGACTGAGACTGAACCTCTGACTAGTAATAATTATACGTCTCTCACGGTGTGTTTTTTTCGATTTAATTGGAAGGAAAATGTACCTCAAATTTTCTTGCAGATTACATCAAAGTATGAAACTCTACGAATTTTAAGACCATAAATAAAGAAAATTTAGCATATAATTAACATGAAATAAAATTCAGATTAGTTTTTAAAGCCATGTTTATTACGAATGCTTACATAAAATACTAATCCGCAGTTATTTTTTAAACAAAATTGTGGAACATGATGAAATAAAGCTTGGACTTTTGGAATTATTGATGTTGCAAGATCGAGGTAGCTCTTCTTGAATTCTTCGATGCCATCTTGGTACGTGCTTTTCAATTATGAAGAGAAGCAACTGTCCACAACTTTTTTTAAGTCTTCTAAAGCTTTTACAAATTTAAGGCAACCCAAGCTACATATTAATCTTAATTTATCGACACTATCCAAAAGTTTCTTACATTGATTGCCTTTAAAAAAAGGAGAACTATAAATTAGCGACCTTTCAACAAGACAATCTTTAACCCACTGCAAACTTACATCTTCATACTTTATCATCAAATTATTAAAGTAATAATGCTTGCTAATTTAAGATCAGTTGCAACAGTGCCGATAAGATCATTTATTTTCAAAGATGACCAAATGAGCTTAACGTTTGTAAAATTCTCTTGAACCTGAAGCGCAGCACATAGAATGAAAACTTTTTTTCTCCAAAACATTTGAATTCCTTTTCAGTTTTTTTAACTTTATTGATTTCGATTTATCTTTAATCTGTAATGAGACACATATTTTTAAAAATCTTCCTCCTCCATCGATTCCAAATTTAAAATGTAATGAATCAGCCATTTATTCGCGCTCTTCACATACGTATTTTAAGAAAACCTTTGTATCATTACAAATTATAACTCGCTCTAGTACTTGATTTGTATTCTCAGCTTTTTGATTTATAAACGGAAAATCGCGTTCTTCAAAAAATGAATCCAATTTGTGATTTCTTTCGAAAACTCTTTCGAAATCGGTAGAAATTTTTAAAGTTTTCTTTTTTTTGGCTAAACATCTACAATTATTAGTTTGCCACGAGATGGTGATAGTACGACCGTATTTTTATCATCCATGTTGTTTACAGTGACATTGTTGTTTACACGACAGCTGATAGCTTTTCATCATTTGGATTGTAAACACTGCACAAATTACAAAATTTTGTTTTTGTTGCTCTCTTTACTTCATAAAGGACTTGAGATTCTTTTAAACAAATTAAACACACTCTATGCCAATTGAGGAAAACAACTTGTGTTTAAGGTAAACATCACATATAGGTATATCATAATCAACGTTGTCAATGTTAAACATTTTGATTGTCTTACAGATGAATTGCATATATATTTCGTAAAAATAAAAATTTTCGTTTTTTTCATTATTCTCAAATAGCGCTCGGCGGATTTCTTTGGTTTTTGGACTTGAAATTTATAGAATTTTATACTTTAATGTAATCTGTAAGAAAATTTTAGGTACATTTTCCTTCCAGTTAAATCGAAAAAACACACCGTGCTCAACGTCTGCATCTCCAGTACACACGTTAAATCATATTCTGATGATCGAAATTATATTTATTTCTTTTCATAAAATAATTAAGTAAGGGGTCAACCATAAAGCACGCAAAGCTTAATTTCGGAAATTTTAACCCCTCTCTCATCATAATACCACTTTACATGCCTGAAAATTTAGCTCTTTTGTAGAGAAAAATTTATATTTTTTCTTACCAGTTGTACTGTTGTTAAATGCTTTTTCCACCAAAGATATTTCTGGTACTCAGGTCCCATTGCTGATAACATGTAGTACAAATACATCACCACGTGAACAGCGTTGTTTATTAAGTTTCCGAGAGTACCGTGACCACCTGGAATGAATTTGACACAAATCCATGTTTCGAGGGGTGTCAAGGAATGATGATAAAGGTGCAAAAAGGTGACTTGACTGTCCTTTTTTCGTAGGATAAAAAATATCTGAAATATGAAAATCTTATTTTAGAAAAATTACCATATTTGCAAAAATTTTCGAGTTATATGAATTTTCGAAATTTTGAATTTTTAAAAGTAGACCTATTTTCAATAGCTTAGAAGTTTAAAAGTATTGAGTTTAAAAAAAAGTTGTCAAAGAAAGAAAATTTTGGTTTTTCTTCAACTTTTAAGTAATGTAAAATTTTTTTTTTTTATAAACAAACTAATTTTTTTTAACTTTGGACCAGATTTTTTTTATTTTTTTTTTATTTATACTTTATAATATAGAGAAGATTTTCCAAAAAGTCGCGAAATGGGCCTGATGTGTTAAATGAGTTTAAAAACATTTTCAAAAATCACTTGCAAGCATCACAGTTGGATTTTTTTACAATTAGCTATTTAAAACTGTCTATTGTGTACAATTTTTAATCTATTTGAGTGTTCTTTGTTTCTAAATTAATGGAGAATAATTTCTCAAGACCCCTTGCATGCAAACTTCAAAGTATTCAATTTTTTAAATAATTTTTTTTCAACTAAAAGTTAACAAATTAATACTGTATTTTCATGTAAAAATAAACGTTTATTTTCTTATTTCGTTACTGCACATGTCCTAAATCAGTTTTAATTAATATATACCTAATATAACCTCCAGATAAATGGTAAAGCATAAAATAATTTATTTAAATTGGTAATAAACAATATTAGTTTATTATTCTGAAATATTTTTTTTAAATTGGGTAAAAAACTAAAAATTTTGAGCATCAGACTTTAAATTCGTAATCAGTGACAAAAAAACTCTCGGAATTAAAATTCTGTTAAAATCCATCGACATTTAAAATTTTTCAAAATTTTTGGCTGCCATATTGAATAAAAAACTTTTTAAAAAAATTTTATCTGATTTCAGATTCGTGTTCAGCGACCCAAAATACCTCTTAGTACCAAATTTTGGAAACATACATCCAGTCGTTTACCTGTACTGCCTATGACGTGTATACGCACGTCATACACACCTTGTGCCGTTTTTCATGACGTGTATACAAGTCATCCACACGCAAGGGGTTAATTAAGGTAAATATAACACAAACATAACCTCAAAATAGATTTGTAAGTTTTACTGTTCATTGCCTTTATAAGTATAAGTATAAGTGAATTTAATATTTCAAAAATTATTAAATGACAATTAAAAACATACCGTATCGGCAAATTCCGTAAATTTGCTTATGAAATACCACCAACAAAGATTAGCCATTCTAAGGGCTGAAGGATTGTGTGAGTAGTCGACTGGTTGACATTTGTAGCTGTATTCTAGCAACCATCCTGACATTAAGTGCTGCAATCATAAAAATAAGAGTGAAGGTTTGGACAAAATTCATGTTTGTATGTAATTATTTTTAAGATTGTATTCTTTATAATAATGCAGTGGTGTAAAAGTCTATGCAAGGAAAAAATTATTTTACTATATAGGGTTCCTAGCAGGTACGGGACCATAAAAGTAATATGAATTACGTAATGAAAGTGTTGGTAATAAAATAATTATAATTAAAATATAGGTAATAAATATTTACTGTACATTAATTCTTCACATTATTCACAGTCTTTTAAAAATTATTAACGCTAATTTGTTATCCAGAATTTTTATTCTTCTGATATGTTCAAGGAATCGATTTATTTTCTCTATTTAATAAATTGATTTCTGATGCTACGACTAAAGTTTCTGAGATTACAAAAAACTTTGTTCAAGAATTGTGAATAATCATTTCTGAAATAAAATAATCCCATATGGTTTGAAAAAATTTGATGAAGAAAGAAACTAAGAATTTGAAAAAGAATTGATTCTAGCCTTCTCCCATTTTTTCAAAACTTCCCATGGTTTAAATAATGAAAAAAATTGATAAAAAAACTAAAACATATAAAAGAACTGATTCTAGCCTTCTCCCATATTTTCAAGACACTTCCCATGGTTTGAAAAAGTAAACAAAATTTTGATGAAGAAACTAAGAAATTAAAAAAGAATTGATTCTAGCCTTCTCCCATGCATTTCTAGTCTCTTCGTATGCTTTGAAAAATTGAGAAATTTGCTAAAAAGTGATTGTAGCCTTCTCCTATACTTTTCTAGACAGTTCGCATAGAAAAATTTTAAAACATTTATGAATATCCGTGTGCAATTGAGTTTTAATCGAAAAACTGACATGGCGGTGAGATTACCCGTTTCCGGCCTGCTCACATGGGGGTACATTCTCTGAATTTGTAGAATTCATTTACTGTTGATGTTTAGTTGTCTTTTAGTGAAAAGTCCTGGCACCACGACAAGGTCTACCGAACATACACTGCAAAAACAAGTGTCTCATTTTGAGACGTTTTGTCCCATATTTGAAACACATAAGATGTCTTAGTCCACATATTTGAAACAGATATGTGTCTCATTTTAAGACGTTTCAAAGTGTCTTACACATTTAGCAATCCATTTTGAGACACGAAATGTGTTTCGAGTATCCGTCTCACACTAAGAAGACGTTTTACGTGTCTTATACGCATTGAGTTACCTTTAATGTCTTAAAATGAGACACGAGATGAAATTAAATGTCTCAATATAAAACAGATCCATGATGTTTTATGATTATTATTTATCCAATATTTTATTATTACTAATAATTATTATTATTATTATTATTTGCTTATATTATATTTAAAATTTTTTTAATGTAAAAAGTAATATAATGATAATTTATAAGTTTAATAACAAAAATTGAGGCGCAAGAATAGGCCCTAAAAGTAATTTTTGAGAATTCTCAGTTGTTAGAATTTTATTAGACATAATTTATTTTTGGCTAAATCTTAATCAGACAGAAGTTATGTTTAATAAAATGAAAAGTAATTTTAATTTCTAGTAAACAGAATAAATAAACACATACGCTCAGTCCGAAAAAAGAAAAGTTCGAAATTATTCGATCAAATTTGTAATTTCAAACTTTTTGCACACCTTTAGCAAAAAATTAATTTCTATTGAATATTTAAAAAAAATATAATGCTTTTTTTTAAAGAGAATTCAGTTTATTAAAGAATCAGAGGTTTATCAAGTGCATAAGAAAGTTAGAAAAAACAATTAATACTTTGAAATTTCTTGGCCTCTTGGTCGTTTTTATAGTTTGTTTAATGTACGCAAGCTGCATTTAGCTATTTCATAGAGCGAGAGTGTGGACCTTGGCTTATGGAAAGTAGTCGAAGGAAATTCCTCGAGGGAAAAAAGAATCATTGCACAAACTCTCGAAAACAGGATGCTTCGCCTTTAACGAACCGCTCTCCCGAACAAATCTTCGTTGGGCAATATGTTTCGACGTCGATGAGCTGATAGGTTATTCGCGAATTCAAAGATTTGTACATCCTTTACTTAAAATGATGACCTCAGATAAAACAATTACTAGATTTTTATCTTACTTTATATATTTGCATTGACCACGATACAATATTTTTGTGCTTTTCATTTCATCACTTCCTAAAGTAGTTTTAATTTTTTATTGCGGTGTATACATACAAATTTTTACTATTAAATCTAAAAAAACTATAGATTTTTAAAATAAAATTTTAAAAACCTGATTTTTTAGTTTTTTTGAATATATTTAAAGAGTATATTTTAAAATAGTCGAATTTAAAAAAGGCTATTTTGGGTACGATTTTCAGATTTCAGACAATTTTTAATTTTCATGTCCGCCATATTGGATCCGCCATTTTGAATTTTTTAAAAATAACCACAGATTCGTATTTAGCGATCCTAAAAACCCCTAAGTAACTATTTTTAAGCGAATTCAGTCGATTTTAAATTTTCATGTCCGCCATATTGGATCTGCCAGTTTAAATTTTTAAAAACTGACCCTACATTCGTATTCAGCGACCCCAAAAACGTCAGAGTAACTATTTTTAAGCAAATTCAGTCGATTTTAATTTTTCTTGTCCGCCATGTTGGATCCGCCATTTTAAATTTTTAATTAGAAGAACAGACTATTTAAGATAATAGCAGGGACATGGAGAAGTTGAAATAAAAAACAGAGCATACACTGTAAAAAAAATTAGGGAGTTGACGGTCACTCGAGTTGAGAGTGAAATTTTTCGAGTTAAAAATCAACTCCAATAGGGAGTTAATTATTAAATTAACTTACTTTTGGAGTTGCTTAATAAAATTTAATAATTAACTCCAAAAGGGATAAAATCATGAGCATTGTCAGTCAAATTTAAAAAATAGAGATAAGTTGCTAATCCTGAAATAAAATAAATATCTACCTAGGAAAAAAATACAATAAATTAACATAAAATTAAAAAAAAATTCAGTATAATTTAGCTAAATGACAAGATAATAAAAAACATTTTTTATACTACGACAGATCTTAAAATGTAAATTTTAAAATCTTAAAGGCATTGTATTAAGGATTGTCACAGCTGTGGTGAGGGGCAAGGGGATTGCTCCCATTACTCCCATGTAAAATCTTGCATGTTTGCAACCTCAAAAAAAATTTCAGTTTCATAATTTTAATCAAAAATCCTATATATTTATTTTATTTAAAGAAAAAAAAAACATTCAAAAAAGATGTAAAAATTAATGATAAAATTTTTTCAAGACTAAAATATTAAAAAATGTATTTAATTAATTTTTTGAAAAAGTGCTAAAAACCATTACACAACATAGTCGACATATGGTTGGTACGACTGGAATATAGTATATTGTCAGAGGTTAACCTCAAATTTTTTAGTGTTGAGAACACGAAAATTACAATAAACAAATGTAGAATATAATTATGATGCAAAAGAAACATAACAGTTATCAACTTATGTTTAAGGAATATTATTAATTTCAAATGTACAGATCAAATTTGTATTTTTTTGAGGTTGTGTGTTGTTGCGATGTTGCCACATTTTCATGTGTTTTTGTGTTTGATACTTATACAATTATTACTGTTCTGAAAACTAAAACTTTAATAATTATTTATTCATTAAATCTGCGGTAAACTTTTTCTAAAATCTTCCAGTTTAAACTTTTTGACATTGTCTATCCATATACAAAACCACAGAATTTTCTCTCATTTCCTTCACACTTTTTTTCTAAGATTTATCTGAGCTCCCATAAGAGCCTATGTTAAATTGCAAATTTATTTTATTTTTTTAAGAAAAAACTACGTAATAAAAAATTCTGAAAAAAATCATATGTTTCTAAAATAATATAAAGATTAAACTGTCAAATTTTTATAATTGTCTCTCATTTCCTTATATTGCCGGTGACAATCCTTAAATACAAATAAGTCACGTACTACACCGAAAAAAATCTCGATGATATTATTATTAACTATGACCCTATAGTTAATCTTAACCTAGTAAAAGTAATAAGGATTCCTAATCATTATGGTTAGGATCGCTAGGTTGATTCAACAAATTCAAGCCTGGCAAAAATAACCCTGCAAATCCTAGTCAAATTGACTAGGATTTTAGTAATTTTGCCTATTTCCATAATGCGCACGCGTCTGCTTCTGTTCTGACAGTGTTTACCTCTATATCTTTCGCGTCATTTATCATGATTTTGTAAAACGATTTTTTATCATTACTCGCGTCTATTTTTTGTACATAAAATGGAGTTCTTATACATACATCAAAATTGCTGGTTTCTCGGAACCTCTGGAAATATAGATAGTCCATGTTTTAGAAAGTAAACTATTTAATTATATTAGTCAATTCTTTCAGACTTTTTTGGTTAGGTTTTGATATAAATCGTCGAAATTTTTACGCACGTGGTGACAACATTTTTACTATTTTAATCGCGCAGTGTGTTTGAAAATTTACCTTTGCAATAATTTGTGTATTTAAATTTATTTTCATTTAAATGGCATAAATAATAAAAAATAAATAGTTTTTGACAAGTGTATAAAATTGTGTACTTGAAATGTATAAAACATCATCTGATTAAGTATTGTATTTTGACTCGAAAATCTAGTGTCTATTAAAAAATTAAAATACCAAGTCGTGTTTAGTGTAGTGGTTATCGTTCCGGGTTTCAAAGTGCGTATTCGTTAGGTTCGGGTGTTCGCGTCCCCCGTGCGTCAAATATTTATTTCATAAGTTTAAATTAATTCTTAGGTATATAAATACAAAGTCAAATATAAATATGTTCAAATACAATAATTAATTTTTTTCTTTTTTCTTTTAATTAGTTTTTCTCTTTTATTTGATAGTAAGAATTTGATTAGCAATTTCAAATAATTATGATACACAGTGTAAATCTAATGTTATTCTCCTAGTCAATTGGACTATTTTTTCCTAATTACATCGACTAATTTTCCTGGTCACTTTAACTATGCTTGAATTTTATTACTTTGACTAGGATTCTATAGTCGGTTCCTCTCGTAACTAGGAAACCTAGTCAATTTCTGGTATACGGGTCCTAGGCATTTTTTTCGGTGTAGTCATAATTACTTTCTACCATCTGTAAACTATACTGATAAATATAAACATAAAAAAATATTATTAAACAAGTAAATAATATATTATATTATATTAATAATAATATATTAATTCAGGGTGTCTACAACTAATCTGAAAAAAATTTCCCTGACATTTCCAGGTTTTCCAGGCCTTCTAAAATTTTTTTTCCATGTTTTAAGAATCGACATAATAAGGGGTTACAAAAAATGCAGTGCTTAGATTTTATTTGATAACACTTATAAATGACGTGGGAGAAGTTTACAACGTTTGTCATCAACGATTTGATGAAAAAAACTGTTTTTCACTCAGAAAACAATATTTTACGTTTACAAAATTTTCTTTTTTAACTATTTATTCAAGAAATATTGTAAAAGTTTTATTAAGATAAAAATTTGAATAGAAAACTATTTTTTCTTCTAAATCATTGTAAACGTCACCAACGTGATAAATTATGAATATAAAATGAACATTTTTAAAAAAATTATCAGGGCTCGAACCAAAGACAGTATTCAAAAATGATTGTAGGTCAAAAGTTCCAAATAAAAAGTTCTATACCAAATGTTTCAATTTTACGAATTTCAATTATTCGTTTATTCTTCAATTAAATATATATATATATATATATTAGAAAATAAAAACTTTAAATAATATTTATAAAATGCAATTAACCTTCTTAAAAAAAATTAATTTCAAAATTCAATTACTTATTTATAAAAATTCATGCTATATTGCTTTAAAAAATTCAAATAATTATCTAAAATTTAAACTGAAATTCATTTTTTAATCAATTTTTATTAGAATTAATTTAATCAAATACAAAAATAAATAATTTATTGAATTATTGAATGTTTCTTAAAATTTAATTTAATTTAATTCACCAACAAATTTTTAAATTGATGATGAATTTTAATAAAATTTTTAAGGATAATTACATTTTTCGAAGAATTCGATTAAAATTATAGTATTAAAAATAATTGAAATTCCTTGATAAGTTTTATTATTTATGAAAATAATTGAATTCCTAAAAAGAATTTTATTATTTACGAAAATAATTAAGGGGCTGGATGCTATAAGGAGATACGCGCAATGTTAAGTAAATGGCGCTTATTCCCTTATAACATCCAGCCCCTCAATTAAATCCCAGTAAAAATTTTATTATTTATGAAAATAAAAAAATTAGATTCTTTTGGGAAAATTTTATTAGAATAGTAGATATTGGAAAACATTAAAATCAGTAACATTTTTGAAAATAATTGAAATTTTGCCAAGAATTTTAATAAAATTTTTGAAAATTATAGAATTTTGGAGAAAAATTTTATTATTTATAAAGATAATGTGAAATTTTGACGAGAATTTAAAAAAAATTTGAATATAATTGAATTTTTGAGAAGAATTTTATTACTTTTGAAAATAATTGAATTTCTGCAAACATTTGTAATTTCTATAAAATTCCCCAAATATTATATCGTACAATTTACAAAATTCTCGTCCTTTTCCAATCAAATTACGGACTTTACGGACCTTTTTTCAAAAAAACTGACTTTTATGGACTTGAAGTAAATTGACGGACCTTTACGGGATTTATGGACCTAGTTCGAGCCCTGAATTATGTATTTTAAAAACAAATTGACTTATTTTACGAAACAAATTTTTTCAATGACATTATTTCTGTTTTTCTTTTGATCTATCAGAATTTTAAGTGGTCAATATTTTTCAATTTGATTATATGTCTGCGTGGTTCATACTATTTATCAAAATAGAATTGCAAATTGGAAGGTCAATATTAATTATTACTATTAATTTTTTGAGGCGCATGATTATTCCCCGAATGTCATTTGACCGAACTGTCATTTTACCGAATTGCGTTTATCCGAACTGTTATTTTAACGAAATGTCACTTTTGCGAATCGCCATTTTTACGAGTTGTCATTTTTGCGAAATATCATTTTTACGAATTGTCATTTTTACGAATCGTTATTGTTTTGAAATGTCATTTTTTCGAATTGTCATTTTTACGAAATGTCATTTTTGCGAATCGACATTTTTACAAATTGTCATTTTTGCGAATTGCCATTTTTACGAATTGCCATTTTTACGAATAGTTATTGTTCCGAATTGTCATTATTACGAAATGTTATTATTGCGAATCGACATTTTTACGAATTGTCACTTTTTATAAGTCATTTTTGCGAATTGCCATTTTTACGAATTGACATTTTTACGAATAGTTATTGTTCCAAATTGTCATTATTACGAAATGTTATTATTGCGAATCGACATTTTTACGAATTGTCACTTTTTATAAGTCATTTTTGCGAATTGTCATTTTTACGAATTGTCATTTTTACGAATTGCCATTTTTACGAATAGTTATTGTTCCAAATTGTCATTATTACGAAATGTTATTATTGCGAATCGACATTTTTACGAATTGTCACTTTTTATCTTTGATTTTTCCTTTGTTTGAGTAAAGATACCTTCTATCAGGAATTATTAATTAAATAACAATTTAAAGAAGTAATTCACTACCATTATAATAATATTCAGTTGTCTGAAGGACAAATTAACATATTAAATTGGCATGTCAAATTGACTACAAGCTTACTTGACTGCTAGTCTGTATCTTAGGAATAGAATTTAGATAATTAATTAATTATTCTAAAAATGCAAATAAAAATTATGTTATAACAGTAAATTGATTGACATTGTGAAATTTATAATTACCTCGTACATCATTCCAAGTGAAAAGACTACTTGAAAAGCGTTGTAAGCAACAAGTACGTTCCTGAGGCGAAAGGGTTTTCTGTTCACCATAATTCGTGGACCAAGGATCGCCACACAATACAAATACAAAAGCACAATAGCAAAAGTTGGAAATGGGGAATCCATTAGGGGCCAATTGCTTACTCTTGGATCAGAAGCAGTTGTTAAAATTTCAGTATATTGCTCTAAAGCCATTCGAACAAGGCCTTCTGCCCCTACGAATGATCTGTTTGTGTCCTTAATTATTTCATGTCGTGGCACAGATTCTCTTTCAGCTACCAGTTCAGCAGCTGCCGACGCCATTTTTACTGAAACAGAAAAATTGTTTCCTTTAAACATTTCGGGAAAATCAACATTTTAATGAATTTTTGTAGTTCTCTTAAAGTCTCCTCAAGAAAATAATAATGAACTGGATTTAATGTTAAGAAAAAATAACAGAAGAAAATCATCTTACTAAAGATAAAAATTAATCAACAAAGTAATCCTACCATAGAGCGGTGATTGAACTCTAATTGCTGCATAAAAAGAGATAAACTTCAGTATAAATTAAAATTGAATTAGGAATAGCATTAATATTAGTTAGTAAATATAAGTGAAAATCATAGGAAACTAAGCACACATATAGTGATTACAAATTGAAAGGCGGATTTGTTGTTTAACTAAAGAAATTAATCTTAAAATAGGATAACTTTCTAATTTTCCAAAAGAAGAGAAATTTCTAAAATTATTTAAAGTACAATCTATTTTCTGATTATTTTTAGGTTAACGCTTTGTTTTATCACATATTACATTATTAATGTCATTGAAACAGAATAATAAGCTTACAAATTTTGCTTTTAAAATATAATTTAATCGCTTGTATTAAGTGTTATATCCGATTAGATTATCATACAAAGAATTACCTAGGGGAGAATGGGGTAGCCCCGAACACTTAAACTTTTTAGTGAATAATTTCGGTTCAAATTTTTAGAATCCAATCAATTTTTCGAAAATACGTCCGCCATATTTGGACCGACATTTTAAATTTTGAAAAACTAATTTCAGATTCGTAATCAGCGACCCCAACAACCCCCGAGTAAGTATTAATCGAATCCGATGAATTTTAAAAAAAATATTGCGCCATATTAGATCCGACATTTTGAATTTTTGAAAGATAAGTTCAAATTCATAATCAGCAACCTCGGAAACCTCCGAGTAAATAGTTTCAACTGAATTTGAGCATTTTTTACAAATTTCGTAGACGAGGTTGTTGTATTAAAAGAAAATTGACTTTTGGTCGTCATTTTTTATCCGCCATCTTGAATTTTAAGCAAATAAACTTGACCATCTAAAAGCTTGAACATTTTTGACGCGATATTTCAAGGTTTTATGAACTTCTTCGAACTCAATGCCTTTGAAAAAAATTCATTTTGGAAAATTTTTTTTCAAAAAACAACATTTTTTCCCAAAAAAATGTCCGTAACTTTTTGGTTTACGATTTTTCTAAAATTTTAAGAGCAGATTCTGAAAGAGCGATGTCTAAGACGTAAGGAATAGTTACTCTGGATTTTATTAAACCCCTGGTCGACGAGAAAATAACCGTCAAAAGTTGTTTCAAAAATGTGTCCGTCCCGTCCTTAAAGGGTTAAATAAGGAAAATGAAAAAAATGAGTCAATAATTCAAAAATAAAAGTTAAACTGTATAGTTTGTGGCTTCTAGGGCTAAAAACAACCCTTAAATAAAAAGTGACAAGATATCTTTTACAAAATATTAATTTTTCATGAAACTTGATATCTAGGGGTTTTTTGGATCGCTGATTACGAATTCAATGACAATTTAACAAAATTCAAAATGGCGGATCCAATATGGCGACAACTTTTTTAAAAATAAATTCAATTTGCCTGACACTCGTTATTCGGGGATTTTTTGGGTCTCTGACTATGAATCTGTTGTCAGATTTTCAAAATTCAAAATGGCGGTTCCAATATAGCTGACAAGCTTTTTAAAAATAGATTAAATTTGTCTGAAACATACATATTCATTAAATATAAACAAAAATTTTCTAATCTTATTAAAATGGATAATTGCACCCCTATTATTAAAATTTATATTAAACCACTGTAAATAGTATAATCAACAAATTTCCATCCCTCACAACACCAGGTATTTCCTAAAAGTTGAAATTAACTTGACTGTAATAACACAGCCACACAAAAAAAAAAGTTCTGATCTGGGGGTCTCACTATGTAGACTTTATGTTTTTTGGGTCGCTGAATCCGAATCCGAGGTCCATTTAACCTCATCAGATCAGGATTTTGACATAACCTCAAAAAACCAATATGGCGGACACATTTTTGAAAAGTTCATTGGATTCGCTTGAAATTCGTTACTCGGGGGTTTTTGGGGTCGCTGATTACGAATTTGAAGTCTGATTCCAAAAATTTAAAATGGCGGATCCACTATGGCGGACACGTTTTTGAAAAATTCATCAGATTCGCTTGAAATTCGTTACTCTGGGGTTTTTAGGATCGCTGATTACGAATTTGAAGTCAGATTTCAAAAATTCAAAATGGCGGATCCAATATGTCTGTGTCAGCCATATTGGATCCGCCATTTTGAATTTTGAAAAACCGACATCAGATTCTTAATCAGCGACTCCAAAAACCCCAGGGTAACGAATTTCAATCGAATCCGATGAATTTTTCAAAAACGTGTCCGCCATAGTGGATCCGCCATTTAAAATTTTTGAAATCAGACTTTAAATTCGTAATCAGCGACCCCAAAAACCCCCGAGTAACGAATTTCAAGCGAATCCGATAAACTTTTCAAAAATGTGTCCGCCATATTGGTTTTTTGAGGTTATGTCAAAATCCTGATCTGATGGGGTTAAATGGACCTCGGATTCGGATTCAGCGACCCAAAAACCATAAAGTCTACATAGTGAGATCCCCAGATCAGAACTTTTTTTTTGTGTGGCTGTGTAACCTTTTGAATCCTTAGTCCCCACGAACAAAGAAGAAAATTAGAAAAGTTTTAAAAATCAAAATGTATTTATTGCTAAAAGAGATGTTTCTTGAGGTAACCCTGGGAGGATTTTTTTATTTATTTTTTTTATTTATACAATTTTACATACTTGAAAGTCAAAAAGATGTTTTTTTAAAATAAAAAATCGGTTAATTTATTATAAAATTAGTAATTTAAAAAAAATAAAAGTTTCCAGGGATACCTGAAGAATTATGTAGGGTCAAAGTGGTGTAACCCCTTAAAATGAAATTTTAAAAATTTGGTAATTGACCACAAAAAATTATCCAAGTCAAAAATCTCTTCATTTTTAGCTGTACTACAAGTCAAGCACTTTTACAAAAATTTAAATTTGAAAATTTTCAAAATTGCGTTTATCAAGAATCTAATATCAGAGATTAATATTTCAAAATATCCGCCATTTTGAAAATTAAATTTTTGTAAAAGTGCTATCTTGTAGTACAGCTAAAAATGAAGAGATTTGTTACCTGGAGAATTTTTTGCTTAAAAATGTAAAAAATTATTTTTTTTAAAAGTACATTTTTCCCATGTATTTTCAATGGGAAATTACGATAGATTACCGGCACGTGTTAATATTAACCAATCGGCTTCGGATTTTCGGAAATTTTTTTTTCTCATATTATATTGGCGCGGCGTAAACAAAATTCGAAAAAATAAATTTGCCATGTATCTTAGGGACACCCAAATAGGGATATAGTACAGTGGTCTGAATCTGCAATTTACTGTTCGAAAAAGTCTTTAGTCCACTGATTATGACAAAATCTAGCAAATTTTTTCTTACAAAATACTCAAAAATAAATTTTTAAGAACCTTAAGGAAACACTTTTTTCAATTTCAAATATTTATTACTTTTATTTTAATGCAAATAAATTAATGATGACAATTTGTAAAGTTGCTAAACATTCTTAGTATCTTCATAAACAAGTCTAAACATTTGAAAGTAAAAAATTTTTTTTAATTTTTTGAACTTGGACGACTACTGTATGTCAAAAATTTTGGAATATACAGTAGTTGGACAGTCAACGATTGTACATGCTAGTATGCAATTATAACGATATTATATCAGTTTTGAATAAAAATGTCAAGGAAAAATCAATACAAACCACCATTTTGAATTTTTAAATACTAAATTCAGATTTGTAATCATCGATCTTGAAAACCCCCAAGTAATGATTTTCAAGTGAATCAGATGAATTTTATAAATATTTCTGCCTTATTGGATCCGCGCCAATTTGAATTTTGAAAATCTATCAGATTGAGAACCAGAGACCCAGAAAACATAAATATGCAATGTCACGATAAATAAATCATGTAATGCCATAAAGATTTAAAGAAAGAAATTTAAAAATCAGTAAAATCGAGACATAATTTTCCATTATTATAATAACAATTATAATAATGCAATCCCTTCCAAATAATGTTTTTTACTATTTTATTGCAATAACTTATTTATTTAAACAATCAAAGTAAGTATACCATTATGACCGCAAAAAAGTAATTTTTATAATTATTTTTAGACTTTTCATTAAAACTTTATTAAAATAATAAACATTGCATCAGATAGTACATGGTTTTATGAACTTTTAGCAACTTTGAAACTTAAAAAATATTAATATTTGTGCAAACAGTAGCTGTTGCCCAACAAAATTTTTTTAAAAACGGCTTGCGGGGTTATTGGGGCAACAGGTGGTGTATTCCACGTCAGTTCAACACAAAAAATTTTATTAGGTTTTGGGATTCGGTTGAAATTGGGTAGATTATATCCTCTGGTGGTAATAAATAAAATCCCCAAGCGATTTTAAAAAATTTAATAAATTGGCGGACATATTGGATTTTTAATTTTTTGTACTTTTTTTGAAAAATATATATCTCTGCTTCTTCTTAACGGATTTTAGTTTATGACCTCTTAAATTGTTCGTATTGAAATATGCTTTTATTTAAGAAATTAAAATTAAAAAAATTATTTAAATTTTTTGTTTAAAAAATTAATTTAATTTTTTGAAAAGACATAGAAAAAAAATGCTACCTTCAATTTTGATCATTTTTTTACCATTTGTAGCCATAAATGTGTTGAACTTGTCCTGAAATTTTCATCGTGGGACAGCCAGTAGTTTTTGAGAAAAAAAATAAAACGTAAATCCTCGCATAGCGCTGTAGCGCTCAGTTTTAATGCCGCACGATTGTAAATGGAATTTTAATGAAAGTACGAGTTTTTATTAACCCTAGAACTAAAATATGATTTTTTTATAGACTAACGAAAAACTGGGGTGGATTGGTACCCCAGAT